ATCCACCCATCCATCCATCCGTTCATCCAACCATCCAACCATCCATCCATCCATCCACCCACCCATCCATCCAACCACTTATCCAACCATCTATCCATCTATCCATCCATCCATCCACCTACCCAACCATATATCCATCCACCCACCCACCCACCCAACCTTATATCCATCCACCCATCCATCCATCAACTCATCCTTCCATCCACTCATTCATCCATCCATCCATCCATCCATCTACCATCCCTGGGGGAGGCCTCCTGTGTTGTGGTCCTGCCCACCGACCACATTGCTCTCCTTGCAGTGTAGAAGCTCAGTGATGTGCCCTGCTAGAGGCCAGTGTCAGGAGTGGGAGGGTGGGAGTGGGAGGGTGGGATGCACAGTCCCGGCTCTCACGGCTCTCCACACTCAGACTGCAGCTGCATCCCGGAACAAACACTTCTCAGTACCTTCAGTGTCTTCTTAGCTTCCAGGAGATGAACTGTTTGGGTTTATTAGTCCATTATCATATAAATAGGCTTCTCTCTTTAGAACTCCATAATCCAGTCAAGTTCAAATTAACCACAGCAAGGAAGCAGCGAATGGCACAGATAGTGCAGACAACCATTTATACCTGGCTTTGGTGAACGTAATGGGATTACTTTCCCGTGGCGGTTGACTTACCATCTTAATTATGTTCTGTTTAGTCTGAAAATGAGCCTCCATGTCCACTGGTAATGGTAGCTTCTCTTGGGTGGCGTTGGCCCACAGCAGACTCGGTGCTGGGGCTGTACTAGCCTGGGCCTTACACCACAGATAATCCATAAAGTGAGACATCGATACAGGGATCCGGTCTGAGCTGCAAAATAAATGATTGCCTATTTCTCCATAAGAAAGAAAGAATTATTTTTCATGCTGACTTCATTCAGCAAACATGTCTTTGAGAAGTTGTCATTCCCAAGAACCCACGAACAGCCATCATGCTAAAGGAAAATGCCCCCGGTGATACCTCTCTGGAGCACCAGATGTATTTCTTTTCTGTTCCTTGTCTCCCCCAGTAGATCCTTTAGTGGCCCTGGGTTTGTGTCCCTCACACACATTCTGTTTCTGTACAACCTAGAAGTGTGCCCCGTCACTGCCAGCTAGCATGAAGGCAGAGGGCTCACCTCCCGTGTCTCCTGTGCAGAGCGCTGAGGGTCCGCAAGAAGATGTCAGGGGAGAAGATGCCCGTGAAGATGATTGGCGACATCCTGACCGCCCAGCTGCCGCACATGCAGCCTTACATCCGGTTCTGCAGCTGTCAGCTCAACGGGGCTGCCCTGATCCAGCAGAAGACAGACGAGGCCCCGGACTTCAAGGAGTTTGTCAAAGTAAGGAGTCTGGGCTTGGCCAAGCCCCTGCTGCCCCCCAGGGGCTGACATAGGGCAGCTGGATGTGTGAGGAGCGAATCCAAGCCTGCAAGCCTATTCCTGCTAAAAACAGCCAACAGGACCGAGGTCTTGGCCGAGCACTAGGGGCCTGCACGAGCTGGCAGGTGGGGCTTTGACCAAAGGGCAGGGCTTGGAGAGGAGGGGCCAGCCTGCATCTGGACACTCGGATCTGTGGTCCAGGTATTAGTGGGGTTATTTGGACACAGGTTTAAACTTTCCGTCTCATCTGTCAGGCCCAGTGGGTCTGGTGGATCTTGGGTGCCCCCATTCCGTTTGGTCTGAGCGCCCCCCACCCCATTCTTGGATGCAGAGGGAGTGGCCAGGAATCCCGAGGGACCCTTTGTTCCTTTCCCAGTTGGTTCTTGCTGTTGGCCTCAAGCTCTAGGAAGTATGTGGCATGAGTGTGGGACTCCAAGACCTCTGCCTTGAGGGGATCACAGCGGTCTCAAGAGCCATGTGTCCCTCAAGGGACATCTGGGAGGTGGGCGCCATGCTGCTGGAGGCCCCAGGCCCTCGGACTTGGCCTTGGCCAGGGCGAGTCCGTGAGGGCCCCACTGGTCCACTCAAACAGCCTCTGCGTCTCCCAGAGAAAAAGACACAGGAATAGAATCAAATAATTTCTGCTCAGCATCCGCTACATTTTGGTGACTAGACCAACACTAACGGCAGGCTTCTGTTTATACCTCATGCATCTGGGAGCAGGCCATTCCCTCCTTCCCAATAATCACGTGTTAGGTCATCATTGTGAGATCTCGCCTTGACCGCAGCATCCCACAGGCTTGTTCTTTCCTTTTCCCCTGGTGTTTCTCAACACTAAATTTTTGGCTAGCTTTGATTTGCTAGCCAATGAATGGGGGCATCCTAAAGTCATTTGAAGGGGAGAAATATTGGTAAAAAGTAGGTCCAGGGTGGTCCAGAGACTGCACTGCGGATGCTGGGCTACCTGGGGTTTCAACCAAGGGCTGGTCCTCCCTGAGGCACAAGGCAGGATGAATTCATCCCTGGATGCACTTGAACTTGAAGGAAATGCTGACACCAACCAGGGCAGGGGGTTAATTTCCTCTCCCTCATCACCTCTCCTCACCTCATCCTTGTGGGGTGGGGTGGGGGGCGTTTGACACGCCTTTGTCACGTATGAGGTGTCCCTGGAATGATGCTCTCCACGCTGGAGCAAGTTCGGGCACTGACATGTCCCGGGACCTGGGACTTCGATCATTGCAGCTGCCCGTTTCTAAGGCATTAAACCTGGACAGCGCCTTTGAGAGCTGGGTCACCACATAATCCCTGTGACTTACAGATGGGATCATCTTTTGGGGACAGAAGCACTCTTTCCCCAAAAAGGGACAGATGGTCTAGCGTGGGGACAACTCGCAAGACTTGAGGTTGTAGTCCTTTCCCCCGCTCCTGTCTCGGTGCCCCCGTCTCTGCCTGCCTGGGGCTCCCACCGGCAGGTGCGGCCCCGTCTGAACGGGATGACGAGATTCAGCCCCTCTGGCCTCACTGGGACGTAAGGGGAGTTTTTATTCTAACTCTACAGCCTCATGTCTCTTCTTATGCTTGTGATTATTAAGAAGGTCTGGCAGATATCCAGAAGAAATATTCTCTGTAGAGCCAGAAGCTCATCTCTGGAAAGGAGGGACTGTGTGTCCCGGGGAGGGTGTGGGTCTCCAGTCTCCATCATCCTGGACCGGGAAAAGAGCTCAGGCCCTTCCAACACCAGGCTCCTCCGTTCTCGTCCACAGAAATGAGACAGTGTGATGGGCCAGGAGTGGATGTCCCTGACTGGATTTGGCAGAGTTCTCAAACACATTTAAACAACTCTCTCATTTCAGAGGCTGGCAATGGACCCTCGATGTAAAGGGATGCCACTCTCTAGTTTCATACTGAAGCCTATGCAACGGGTAACAAGATACCCACTGATCATTAAAAACGTAAGTATCCCTCTTGGCTTTTCAAGCAGAGAAATGTTCTCTCAGTATTTCAGGGATCCCAGGTCACGGGCAAGATCACCCCCAGCCAACGCTGTTGTGGGCTGACGTTCTTTTGGCTCAACTAACTCAGAAAGAAAAAGCTGTTTATTGTGAAAAGAGCTAATAATATACAGTCTTCAGCTGTGTGACCAAGCCGCTCTTACCTCCTAAGCTGGAAAATGGAAGCTCGGGTCTTTGGATCTTTTCTTATTTGAGGTATAATGCCTTCATGCCTCACTTTCCTCAGCGAGAAGGAGAAAGAAATGTCATGCCTACCACCCATCTTCAGAAAGCCATTGTGGAGCCAATACCAAAAGTTTAAAAAAAAAAAGGGGGGGGGTTCTGTGTTTCTACCTGTAATATGAGTGAGCAGACCCAAACATCGTCTGAGCCCAGGGAAATAAAAACCCAAAGGGGGATAGCCCCTGGAAAGGGGTTTTTTTTTTTTTTTTTTTTTTTATCTTTTTTTTTTTTTTTTTTTTAAAGATTTTATTTATTCATTTGACAGACCGAGATCACAAGTAGGCAGAGAGAGGCAGGCAGAAAGAGAGAGGAGGAAGCAGGCTTCCCGCGGAGCAGAGAGCCCGATGTGGGGCTCGATCCTAGGACACTGGGATCATGACCTGAGCCGAAGGCAGAGGCTTTAACCCACTGAGCCACCCAGGCGCCCCTTATTTTTATCTTTTTAAGAATTATTTATTTACTTATTTGATGGAGAGAGAGAGAGAGAGCGCACAAGCAGGCAGAGTAGCAGGCAGAGAGAGAGAGGGAGAAACAGGCTCCCTGCTGAGCTCCAACGTGGGGCTATATCCCAGGACCTGGGATCATGACCTCAGCCGAAGATAGTCACCCAACCTACTGAGCCACCCAGGTGCCCCAGTGGAGAGAGGGTTCAGATCTGGTTTCCTTTAGTGGAGACTTTAGAAACCCAGGTCTGGGCACTGGTGTGCTCATTGCTGCTGGGGTGTTACTGCCTTTTGGGTCTCTCAGTGGCAGAGTCAGGAAATATGTGTATGTATATTAAATTCATACACACATACTTACGTCTGTGTAAGTGTACACACCTACATTTATATTTCTAGATCAATCCATGCAGATAATAATGCACATTAAAACCCATGCGTTCACACTGATCTTCCTGTTCTAATCTCATACTACGGAGTTGATTCCAGACTCTCCCTTTCTTTACTTACAACTCCTTTTCTGAGAAACCTGCCTCTCATTATCCTCAACACTTTACTGATTTGCTCAGACCCTCGATAGTAACCCGTCTCCCGCTACATAATCCATCTCCTCTGTTCAACCCCAGATTGGCACCACAAAGTACACTGTGGCCACCTTGGCTGGATTAAATAATTCATTTTGAATCAGGCTTTCAAGCTACCACTTCCTCTCTTCCAACCTGACAGTTACTATTTAATTGGCTCAATGCTTTTCTTTTTTTCCCCCCTCAGTATTTAATTGTACATTGGAGCTGGAAATGAGCTTTTAAAATAGTTGTTCTGGATCTAGCCAATAGGGTGGGGGGCAAAAAGAAGGAAAGGATTGAGAGTCATAAATATTAAAAAGGAAAAAAACAAATTATTATTATTTGCAGAAACACGATTGCTGCCCTTTAGAGGACCTGAAAATGAACTGAAAAATAGTGAAACCAAGAAGAGAATTCTTAAAAGGTGGCCAGGTATAAGATACATGTGAAAAACCACAGAAGTACTAAGAGGAAATATTGTTTATGATGTTGAGGTGGAGAAATTCTTAGCATGGCAGTGAGAACAGAGACTTAGAAGATTAGACTTGAAGCAACTTAAGAAAATATTTTATCCTGGAAACAACTTAGATATTAAGTAGAGCAAATAAATTGTGCTAGATCTGTACTCTGAAAAAATATTTTTAAAAGATTTTATTTATTTATTTGACAGAGAGAGGGAGATCACAAGTAGGCAGATAGGCAGGCAGAGATGGGGGGAAGCAGGCCTCCTGCCGAGTGGAGAGCCTGATGTGGGGCTCGATCCCAGGACCCTGAGATCATGACCTGAGCCCAAGGCAGAGGCCCAACCCACTGAGCCACCCAGGTGCCCCTGAAAATATTTTTAAAAACAGAGATTTCAGGGGTGCCCAGATGGCTCAGTTGGTTAAGTGTCTGCCTTCGGCTCAGGTCATGATCCCAGGATCCTGGGATCAAGCCCCATGTCAGGCTCCCCCCTCAGCACGGAGCCTGCTTCTCCCTCTCCCTCTGCTGCTCCCCCTCCTTGTACTCTCTCTTTCTCTGTCAAATAAATAAATAAAATCTTTAAAAAAAGACAGATTTCTATGTATTAGCATGGAATGACATCCAGAAAATGCCATTTCAGTTAAAAAAACCCAAAAACCTCCACGAGCAATCTTACAGTGTAGTTCATTCTGTAAAACAGAGGGAAAACTACGTGTGATTATTAAATATATGGAAAGCATCTGAAAGGAGTTCAAGGGATGCCCTTTGGTCTGTTGGCATGGTTACCTCTGGGGAGGATAGTGAAAGGGAATTCTCACATTTGCTCTATGTACTTCTGTACTGTTTGGATCTTGCAGATCAAGAATGTGCCCATATACTAATTCGCATAAACATTTTTCTTAAAGATTTCTGTGTGACAAAATATACTGAACAACAATGAAAGGCAAATGATAGATGTAAGCTGGGTAAACACATTTTAGACTGCAGGTAAGTCAGTACTGAAATATACATAGATTACCTATCTTTATCTATGTATCTATCATATATTGGATAAGGGGCTAACATCCAAAATATATAAAGAACTCATACAACTCATACAATAGCAAAAAACCAACAATCTGGTTTAAAAATGGGCAGAGGATCTGACTAGGAATTTTTCTAAAAACACACAGTGCTTAGAGGTACATGAAAAGAAGATCTATATAATTAATCACCAGGGAAATGCAAATCAAAACCACAATGAAGTATCACCTCACACTTGTTAGGATAACTATTATAAAAAAGACTAGATGGGCACCTGGGTGGCTCAGTTGTTTGAACATCTGCCTTTGGCTCAGGTCATGGTCCCAGGGTCCTGGGATTGAGCCCAGGATCAGGCTCCGTGTTCAGCGGGGAACTGGCTTCTCCAATAATTTCTTCAAATAAATAAATGAAATCTATAAATGAATGAAAAAAAAAGACTAGAAATAACAAGCGTTGATAAGGACATAGAAAAAGGGTTCCTTGTCCACTGTTGGTAGGAATAGAAATTGGTGCAGCCAGTACGGAAAACAGATTCTTGAAGAATCTACCATTCCTCTTCTTGGTATTTACCTGAAGAAAATAAGAACACTAATTCAAAAAGATACATGCACCCCCATGTTCATTGCAAGATTATTTACAATAGACAAGACATGGAAACAACCTGACTGTCCACTGATGGATAGAAATATGATATATATATCACAGTTTTCATTATATATATAATATATATATCAATCACAATATTCCATAATATATTATATACATATAACATATGTGATGTATATATATACATATATATATGTTTCAGACATAAAAAATAAACAGTGAAATCTTGCCATTTGTGTCAACATGGACAGACCTTGACGGCATCATGCTAAGTGATAGACTCAGACACTGAAATACAAATACCATATGATCTTTCTTATATTCAGCATCTTAAAAACAATTAATTAAAGAAAACCCCCAAGCTCATAGATACAGACAACCAATTAGTGGTTGTCAGAAGCGGGGTAGGGGATGGTGTACATGGGTGAACTATTTTTTGTTTTGTTTTTTTTTTGTTCTTAGTTTAAATAAATTGGAAGAAAAAAACAAAAGCAATACCAAACCCAAACCAAAACAAATGAATTTGCACAAGCCAGCTGTGTGGGCTCCCAGTCTAGAGCTGTAGTCCTTAGACTTGGCTGCCCGTTAGAATCATCTGGAGAGCTCTAGAAAATTCCTAGGCTGGAGTCCCACCCCCAGGGATGTGGTTGGGGATGAGGCATCAGGACTTTCCAGAGGGATCCTAGCTACAACCAGGGCTGGGGGGCAGTGGGGGTTGTTGTTGCTGATTGGTGGAGGCAGGACCAGAATGATCATTTTTCTCAATTTAGGTGCTTCCCTAGAACTTTAAACCAGAGGGTACCTTTGAGGTGAGATATTATTCAAGGTTAGCTCCATTTGAATTATTTGTGTGTGGTCAAGGCCTAGGCAGGTGCACCTTCCACATCCCCTGGTGCATTCCCAAACTGGCTCACAACCTTTCTGCGTGGCTGCGTTTAATGTCCTCGGAGTCCTTCGAGAATCTGATGGTCATGGCTCTCATTCACTGAGCACCTTCTAAGGTCAGGGACTTCGCGAAGTCGAACCTATCTTTCTCTATCAAATCATTTAGTCCTCCAGATAACCTTATAAAGGAAGGGCTATGGGGCATCCCCCCTTCTCATATAAGGAAATTGAGGCTCAGAACATTTAGGGGCCTGGCGCATGCGTGGCTGGTCACTGGCAGAGCCCAGACGTTAGTGCAGGAGGTGTAGCCGCTGGCTGGGCGTGTTCTACACAGAAAACCGCACCTGTGCTCAGATGCACACCTTTGTGCATGGTTCTGGAGGTGTGCAGATGCCTGCAGCTCCAGCGGACCTAGGAAAAGAGCCATTTTCTAGGGGAAAATCCCTGAGGGCGCATTGTAACCCCGGCTGCAGCCACTGCCATCCTCAAACCCCGAATCTAAATAATGTGGCATTCCCCTGCCTCCCCCGGGGACCCTGCCAACAACCGGGGGGCTGTCTTGCTCCTGTCTTGGCTGCAGCTGGGCGCTCAGAGCGGCAGCTCCCCGGGTGGGCACCCATCCGGAAAGGTGGGTGCCGCGCCCTGCCTCTGCTGGGCCCACCTGCACCGCCTGAGGCCGCTGTTTGTGTCCTCCGTAGATCCTGGAAAACACCCCCGAAAACCATCCTGACCACAGCCACTTGAAGCACGCCCTGGAGAAAGCGGAAGAGCTGTGCTCGCAGGTGAACGAAGGGGTGCGGGAGAAGGAGAACTCGGACCGGCTGGAGTGGATCCAAGCTCATGTGCAGTGTGAAGGCCTGTCTGAGGTAGCCCCCCGCCCCCCAACCCCAGCCGAGCCCCGGCAGCCAGCCTGGAGGAGGAGGGCTGGCAGGATCGTGCGCTGCCCCCTCCTGGCCACCGCGTGCGCCTTCTCTCTCCCCCAGGCCTCTTATCTGCCCTCCACCTGTCCACTGACTTCTTTATTTCCGTCTTCGTTTCCGTTTTCCGAAGTTCCGTTCCTGTGTCTTGCTCTTGCACCGGTGGCCCCGCTTTTCATCCATTTGCTAACACACTTTCAACACATCCCCCCATATTTCCAGTCAGGTCGTTCCAATTACCCACAGCTCCGGAGACGCTTCTCTGTCCTGCGGGAGGGCCGCGTTCCTTGGAGCTGTGTCCGCGGGACCTCTGCGGTCTGGCGTTGCCTTCCTCCCGAGAGGGCTGCTACCAGCACTGCGACCCCAAATTAAATGTAGAGGGGCTTGGGGGTCGCACTGCTGTGTGAATGGTCTTTGTGGACTTGGGCGAGGGCTGCCTTGTGGTTGCAAATTCTCAGGGTTTTTGTTTTGTTTTTTTCATTACACTTAGTCCAAGGTCAGAAACAAGCAAGTCTTCTCGCTCCTCCCTTCTGTGCTTGAGTTTACTTGTTACTCTTCCTCCGGGAGTGAGTTTTTTGTGGCCGTCTCCCGTTAGATCCCTCTGCTCACGTGGGCCCTCCATACATCGCTGGGCTCCCGCACTCTCCCTGACCTTTGAAGTGGAAGCTCAAGGTCACCAGATTCAAGAGAGATTCTCAGGGCTGAAGCCAGCATTGGGGTTTGCTTATCTTCTGGGGTACACATTTTCATTCTGTTTTGGGCCTCCACACATTGACTTTTTATATCTTTTTTTTTTTTTTATCAATTTGCTTGCATTTAAAAAGTGCATTTTTATCTTTTACTCAGTTCTGAAAGTTTTCACTGGATGTGACAGAGCATGTAGTCCCCCTTACTGCCAGAAACAGAAGTTTCTCTTCTTGTATTTAATTCTTTTCTTGTCACTTACGCTTCCTTCAGTTTCATTGGTTCTCTGTTTTCCCTCTCTGCCACCGCATGGCGCAAACACATACACACGCACATGCACGCGCCATTCACCAGGGTTTACTAAAATGCCCAGGCAGAATGTGTCCCCCTCATCCCCTCTCCCCGTGGCTTCTTCCTTCTCCCAGTACTTTGAAGGCAGTCACTCGCCGAGGAAGTCACCACGGGCTCCTCACCTGCCCCACCAGCGTTAGGTGCGCGATAAAGAGAGCTGTGGGAGCAGCCTCGTGGAAATGCATTCTGGAATTCTGTGTTGATACGCAATCCAGGGGCATTCACTGGTCGGTTGGCTCACTTGTGCTTTCCTCCATTGGTCCATCCAATGAACCTTTCTGGAACACCTGCTGGAGGGCCATGGCTCAGTACTAAACACCCGGGACAATGAGAATCAGTAAGATGTGACCTCTGCTTTCCCCCATTCTACAGTTTTGGAGGAGGTGGGGGAGGGGAGCTAACCCAGGTTCACCAAAAAATAGGATTGGGAAGGCAGAAAGAGGGTGCTGTGGGAACAAAGGGTGGGGAGGAAGGGACAGTCACCAGGGCACGGTGGGGATTCAGGGAAGCATCGGGGAAGGAGACACATGGCTGCGTGTTGAAGGATGAAGATATCTGTCCAGGAAGGGATCGAAGGGGCGGGCCTCCCAGGGGAGGGCACGTCAGGAGCCGGGCATCTGTAGGGCAATAGATGAGAAGGTGTTATGGCAAGTGGAAGCCAGGGAAGCAAGCACAGAGGAGTGTAACTCGGTCTGCAGGCGGCACACCTCAACAGCTTTCTGAACCGGGCAGCAGGACGTGGCCATGTGCTCTCTGGAAAGGGGTCCTTCCCCGAGTCTCAAAGGTGCCGTCAGGCGGCTTCTGTCTCCTGGCCCAGATCCGGACTCGTCCCCGTGATTAAGTTTCGAATACACACTATCTTGGGCATTATTGGCCTCAGATGGAGAAACATCAAGGCCGTTCCCCATTCATTTATATGCAGTGTTAGCCTGGCCCCGTGGCAGCCCCGCTCTTGGAGGAGGATGAACGAACGACGTCCTTTTCGTGTGACCGGGCTGCCTTCTCTGGATCTGTTCCCACATGGCTTGAACTCTCCTTTGGCCAGCAAAAGGGACCTCCAGACACCTGTTCAGAGTGCCAAAGGGGAAAGGACACCGTCTGAAGGCTCCCATGGGGGTGTCACCTTCAGTCTTCTGGGCTCTCTCAGAGACCCTCCTCCCTCCTTGGGCCCAAGAGTGGAGTGGGGCGGCCACCCTTCCTTATTTCTATAGGTCTCTAGTCACAGAGGTGCTGCTGATTTTTTGCCCCACGATGGAGGGGGATTGGGGGCCACCAGCATCTCTTGGGGGACACATGGTGTGAACCCTGTCTCCACTGCACAAATACCCTCCTTGGGAAGGTCTACAGGGTTCATAGCTCCGGGGAGTATGGGCCTTGAAGGCTGCTGGGGGAGCATCCCCCTGGGACCCGCGTGTGGGCGGGGGGGGGCATTGGGGTCTGACACTTGCTGGGATCATATCACTGCCTGGGACAGCTGTGGCCTTTCCCTCCCTCAGTCTCTCCTCTGGCTACCAAGAAAGGGGGTCTTTATGGGCTCATTTTTCTGCCTCAGTCTCCCTCTGCCCCTTGCGAAACTGCTCACAGGAGATGGTAGAGCCCAGTGGGATGATAGAGCCGGCTTTCCGCAGCCCTTGGAGCCAACACTGAGATTCGGGAAGCAGCAGGAAAAGGGTGTCCCCTTCCCATTTTCAGGATAAGGGAGTAGGTCGAGATTTAATGCACACCGACGCTGTGTCCGCTCTGCTTGGCTTTGAGGCGTCCCTCAGCACCCCCGAGTTTTACAGTCGCCCACGTGCTGGGGCCTGGACTCTAGCCACACCTGGGAAAATAGGAGGTGTCCTCTAGAATCGTACAGAGCAGTTGCTGCTTTCCAGAAGCTCAGGGACTGTGGGAGCCTGTATGGGGTCGTCACTGGAGCAGGTTCATGCCCTTGACTGGGACACAGCCCATACTTATCGAGGCGGGAGAGGCCCCAGAACTTTCTTCCTGCTTCCCATTTCCCAATCAGTAAGAGGGAGAGGGGCCCCAATCACCCCAAGACCCTAGTAGATCCCTTGGGAGAAAGCAGTAGGAATTATACTCAAGGCTCATCTGGACCCTTGGAATCCACAGAACTGGGTCTTTGACTGATGTTGACTCCTTGGCTCTGAAAGGCACTGCCTGGGGCGCCTGAGTGGCTCAGTGGGTTAAAGCTTCTGCTCAGGTCATGATCTCAGAGTCCTGGGATCGAGCCCCGCATCAGGCTCTCTGCTCAGCAGGGAGCCTGCTTCCTTCTCTCTCTTTCTGTGCCTGCCTCTCTGTCTACTTGTGATCTCTCTCTGTCAAATAAATAAATTAAAAAAAAAAAAAAAAGGGCACTGCCTGACCTCTTCAAGTCAGTCCTGGACTTGAACCTCAGACACAAGCCCACTGGGCCCAGCCTCAGATTCTGACAGGGTCTGGGCTTTCAGACTCAGAAAAAACAAAAACTAAAAAAAAAAAAAAAAAAAAAAAAAAAAAAAAGGAGGCCTCACTTCATCGTGTCTTCTTTGGGTTTTGTTTCTCCTTTCTTAGCAACTTGTGTTCAATTCAGTGACCAACTGCTTGGGGCCACGCAAGTTTCTGCACAGCGGGAAGCTCTACAAGGCCAAGAGCAACAAGGAGCTGTACGGCTTCCTCTTCAATGACTTCCTCCTGCTGACCCAGATCATAAAACCCCTGGGGTCTTCTGGTTCCGACAAGGTCTTCAGTCCCAAATCTCACCTGCTGTATAAAATGTATAAAACTGTAAGTTCGAGTCCCAATTGCAACATCGGGGCTGCTGCTTGGGGCAGTAGAAAGTTCCCGAAAGGCCTCAGAGTCTTAGCAGGGTTTGGGGGCTGCGGCATGGAGGCGAAGTCAAAGGGGTGAGCCAGGATTTAGGGTGACCAAGGCAATGCAGGTCCAGCACTTACAGAAGAGGAACGATGTTCAACTCAATCGATGAAATATCTATTAGCTTCCAAGTGGCCACCACAGTGGGTCTAGGTGAAGGCACACCCTGGGCTGGCAGGTCTCAAGATCAGGCCCAGCCCCGCCTCCAAACCTCTCTGGGTAGCTTGGAACGAACATCTGTGCCCCTCACCCTTTCCAGCAAAAGCCAATCCAAACAGTGTGTGGAGAATGTCCTTCTGCTGTTTACTAGGTCTGCTCTGATGTACATAGCTGTCTTTCTGTGTCTTTGTGTCACAGGGTACCGTTTTCCTAAATTTGTCTGCGTGGGGGTGTTTTTACGGGAGAATTTTCTCTGAAGCGGCAGTTAGCCTGATTGTGGGGAAAAGAAAAATGTATCTATGGGGACCTTCACTAGCAACTTTGTAGAAAAATCTTCGGAGGGAATTGGCTGGTGGTGAAGTTAGGGAGACTGTTTGCTGATTAGAATTTGCTGGGGCCAAAACAGACCGGTCAGGTCTTCTTCTGAGGGACCTAAAAAAAGCCCTGCAAAATGGAGGAGGCAAAAATGCCTATGTATGGTTTGTAATACATGAGGTTGATATTAATACAAAATCATTCCAGTAGAGTTGACTGGAACACGCGCACACGCACACAGACACACACACACACACACACACTCAGTTTAATTTACTGGAATGCGTGCATGTAAGCTCACACGTGCTCATCGATGGTTCACTGAAACAGAGTCCCAGTCTGGTTGTATAATGCCTGTGTATTGCTTTTCAGCCTATTTTCCTGAATGAGGTTCTAGTGAAATTGCCCACGGACCCTTCTGGAGATGAGCCCATCTTCCACATCTCCCACATTGACCGTGTCTACACCCTCCGAGCCGAAAGCATAAATGAAAGGTAAGACCTGCTACCTCCCAGGTCCTGGGCGCCCAGGGCCCCACCGGGGGCAGGATGCACGTAGGACATTTAATTAATCAGCAGGTCCCAACATTTCTTGAGTTGTAGTAACTGCTGTCTGGAGGGATTGGAGGAAGATCTTAGTACTTGTCTCTAGAGCCTCTCAAAAGTTTAACACGTGGCGTGGATTTTTTCAAAAATAAAACAAATTGAAACTAATGTTGCTTGCAAATTTCTTTAAAAGACATTTTCATCATTCTCTGAGTTCACGTTTCCCAAGGTTTCCCAGCTGCCAGAACCCAAGAGGAAGGCGATGTGGGGATCAGCCCCGACCTCAGCTGGCTCCCTTGGGCAGATGTTCTGGATCCCAGAGCACGGGGCTATTTTGCTTCAATCGCGTATTCAAGACTCGGCCCTAGAGCCAAATGAAATAGATCTTTTCTGAAGGGTGAACTTGACACAAGGCCAACAACATTCCAAAGAACATTTGTGCCAAGCAAGAAAATTGGCCAAAGTTATCGTGCAGATGGATCTTTGAAAAATGAAGGAGAAAGCGTTATGCCAAAGTGCTTCTCCCAGAGTGTGTTTGCTTTTCCATGTAAAGTGCTTCCCTCTCTGGGAAACGGTTTTGTCCTTCCTTTGGATGGTTTCGTGAGAGAGACCCTTCTGGCCATCTTCGGGTGGGAAAATGCGGGATGTTTTTCTTTTCTTTTCTTTTTTAAGATTTTATTTATTTGATAGAGATCACAAGTAGGCAGAGAAGCAGGCAGAGAGAGAGGATGAAGCAGGCTCCCTGCTGAGCAGAGAGCCCGATGTGGGGCTCGATCCCAGGACCCTGGGATCATGACCTGAGCCGAAGGCAGAGGCTTAACCCACTGAGCCACCCAGGCGCCCCGGGGGATGCTTTTCAATAAGGGAGGGGGAGGTGCATGCTAACATCTCCGGGACAGCACCTCTCTTCCCAGGACACCAAGGCCAAGGCAGGTCTCGAGTACATCAATAAAAATGTTACTCATCCCTTCCTCATTAAGGTAGGAATAATTATTAGCACCGTTTGACACAAAACTGGACTTTCTTTTCCATCCTTTGTCGTTAAGCGCAAAGGAACAAAGCAGATAGGATCATGGAGATTCAGTTCGAACAGCCCCGGAAGCTTTTTCCTGAGTTCTGTTTGGCATCTTTCTGTCTTTTTTCTTCCCAAGGACGGCCTGGGTGCAGAAAATCAAAGCTGCTTCAGAACTCTATATAGAGACTGAGAAAAAGAAACGGGAGAAGGCGTACCTGGGTATGCATCGCTCAGCGGCAGGGCCCGCGTGTCCTGCCAAGCTGGGGCACTGAAGTTTGGGCCCAGGGAGTCCTTGGAGCTGGAAAGATGGGCCCGGAGCAGGGACGGGGGCGCTGAGAAGGGATGGAAGTTGGGGAGAGGGAGAGTGGGGTGCAGGATGAGGGCAGAGCGTAAATTCCAAGAGCCAGGAAGCCGGCCTGCAAGGGGACGATGGGGGGAGGCAGCTACACGAAACCGATCTGGGGCAAACGGGTGGGAAGCGTGTCTCTGTGAAGCCGTCTTACCTCCTCCTTCCTGCCGTCACAGTCCGCTCCCAAAGGGCAACGGGTATCGGAAGGTTGATGGTGAATGTTGTTGAAGGCATTGAGCTGAAGCCCTGTCGGTCACACGGTAAGGACCCCGAAGTCCCTCCAGCACGGGGTGGTGGCGGAAGCCTTTCCTGTGAGCCCCCCAGCCGGCGTGGCGTCAAACGAGCTGTTTCCATGACCCTAAATTTCCTTCCGGAACTGGTCTTTCTAACACTTGTTGAAAACCTAGGGTGGTTTTCCTTTTTTTTCTTAAATTAATCCTTCCCACCGTTCTGCTTTTCAGAGAGATCTGAGCGGTTGCCATTTCACCGTGGGTGTGACGCAACCTAAGCTTCTAGCAAGGAGACTGGAAAGGCCTAGATTTAAAGTCTGTTAATCTAATGATTTAAGTGTTATAAATATTTAAGTATCATGGTTTAAGTGTGACGCTGAGTGGTGGGAGTTTTCGCCCAGATTTTTTTTTTTAAATTTAAAAATTTTAAAAATTAAAAAAAAGATTAAAAAAATCTTTTTAAAGATTTTTAAAATTTTTTTAAAAATTAAAAAAATTTTTTAAAAATTAAAAAAAGATATTTATTTGAGAGAGTGAGAGAGTGAGTGGGGGCGGGGGAGGCAGAGGGAGAAACAGACAGACACCCCACTGAGCGAGGAACCCCACACGGGGCTTGATCCCAGGATCTGGGGATCATGACCTGAGCTGAAGGCAGATGCTTTACTGACTGAGCCCCCCAGGCGGCCTCAGATTCTCCATTTTATGTCATTTATCACATGTGGCAATGGGAGGGGATAAAAATGAGAGGCATGGAGGGAAGCTGCTGCCCACCGTGGCGAGGACGCTGCCCTGCCACGCCCAGGAGAGCCTGCAGCCAGGTGTGAGTCCAGCAGACTCTGTCCACTCTAGGAAAGAGTAACCCGTACTGTGAGGTGACCATGGGCTCCCAGTGTCACATCACCAAGACCATCCAGGACACTCTGAATCCCAAGTGGAATTCCAACTGCCAGTTCTTCATCAAAGACCTGGAGCAGGAAGTCCTGTGTATCACCGTGTTTGAGAGGGACCAGTTCTCTCCAGACGGTGAGTAGAGGATGGCCCCCTGCGGAGTCCTTCTTCCTTCCCTGTTACTCAGCTTTTGTGGGTAAATTGCTTTCTAGCTGGGAACTTGGTGCGCAGAGTTTTTTTGGCTTCCCTCCAGAGAGATGAGGTTGGCATAAGACAAGACTCAGCCTCTTCTAGAAAGGGGTCTTCACTGATGCTGTGGCATCTCAGAGAAGGTGGACAAAGCGTGCGTGGTCCAGAGTGGTCCAGCCACCCTAGAGAAAGACCATGGTCCCATGTTTCTCCAAAGCAAGAGACTACAACAAAGGTTATCCCCCAAAGTCTCAGCCCAGACCTTGAGTTCTTCTCCAAAAGCCACAGTGACAAATGGATAAAAGTAGTTAGTTGAGCCAGAAGAACGTCAGCCCACAACAGGTGTGGTAAGAATCAGCTGGTGCCCTTTGGGTGACCTGTCTGGTTAATCAAAGGGTTGGAATCACCATCTCTCACGTCTGGGCTCCTACTGTGTTTCACTGTCAGTTTTTATTCTGGTAAGTGAAGGTTTGAGACTGGATGTTGTTACGGTTGTTTTAAATAGTGAAGTATCACGACACAGTGTTCATTCCACTAGGGCATACATTGAAAATCCTAGTGTTGTTCTTACATTGGAGATTATTTCAATGAAATGAGCATAGGGACAAAATAAAGCTGTATCTGTCCCCCAGGAAAAAAAATATATCCCACGTCTTTAAAAAAAAAAATTTAAAGCTTATTTTTTTATTTTTAGCAATCTCTCTACCCAACAGGGGGCTCAAACTCATGATTCCAAGATCAAGAGTCGCACACTCTTTCAACTGAGCCAGCCAGGCACCCCCAATGCCCACATTTTATTTTATTTTTTAAAGATTTTTTTTAATGTATTCATTTGGGTGGGGGGAGCACAAGTGAGGGGGAGGGGCAGAGGAGAAGGGAGAAGCAGGTTCCCCACTGAGAAGGAAGCCCAATGTGGGGCTCGATCCCAGGACCCTGGGATCATGACCTGAGCCGAAGGCAGACACTTAACCGACTGAGTCACCCAGACTTCTGGGATTCCCACATTTTAATTTATTTTATTTTATTTTTTTTTTAAGATTTTATTTATTTATTTGACAGACAGAGATCACAAGTAGGCAGAGAGGCAGGCAGAGAGAGAGAGGAAGGGAAGCAGGCTCCCTGCTGAGCAGAGAGCCAGATGCGGGGCTCGATCCCAGGACCCCGGGACCATGACCTGAGCTGAAGGCAGAGGCTTAACCCACTGAGCCACCCAGGCGCCCCGGATTCCCACATTTTAAGTGGGACCGTGAAAGAAGGCTGTTTCCAGTACAGGCGCATACATAGTATATTCCAATAAAGAATTCCTCAATGAATAAATGAAGGAATTATGGTCTGGAGGCCCATTTAACACCATCCTGTAATTGCCTAGCATTTAAAACATATTCAAATATATTCACATCTGCTCTCCTACTGATGCTCAGTATTTGATGAAAAGTGCTGAGAGCGCCCAGCCTGCAGCCTCCTCTCTCCCACACCTCCCATTTGCTTTCTGGCTCATGCAGGGGTCACAGGAAGGACCAGCCCTCGCTCACCATCCTTGACTTTTCTGAAAAGGATGTGACATCACGAATGTGTCTTCTGAACCCAGGGAGATACTACTTTCCGATCTTTGTCCTGCTGATAGGATGTCCAATGTTGCATTGCCTCCTGGGAAGCTTATAGCCCTTCGGAGGTCCCCAGGTGTGGGGAAAGGCATAGTCTCCGTTTTTACGTACTTCTAGGCTCAACTATGTCCCCACCCTGGTGTCCTTTTTTTCTTTCTTTTCCTAGTACTCCATTTAAAAATTATGCTCTGTCATCGTAGTTCATGGATTCCTGTAAACAGACCTACTTCTCTTTTGGAAGAAGGGAGAGTGTGTCGGTTAGCTGAGAAATTCCTAATATGCTAAATCCGTGCCTTGACGTAAAGGAATTCTCTCTTTGAGCACAGTGCTTTTTTCTCCTTGCAGATTTTTTGGGTCGGACAGAGATCCGTGTGGCCGACATCAAGAAGGACCAGGGTTCCAAGGGCCCAGTTACAAAGTGTCTCCTGCTGCACGAAGTTCCCACAGGAGAGATTGTGGTCCGCTTGGACCTACAGTTGTTTGATGAGCCATAGGGAGTGGGCCCAGCATGGTGCTTGGCGGACTTCCAGCCCGCGGCGGCAGGTGCAATCTGGAAATGGTGTGGCTTCCCTAAAACCACCGTTTGACATTCAGCCACAGGGCAAAGGGACAGTGAAGACAGGCCCCTCAAAACTTCTAGGAATAATTCTCGACAATCTTTCCCCGTCCCCCAAACAATTTCTCATTTTATGAAACAAAAACAAAATGTCTTCCTTTGTCCTCACTGCTGGTCTCATCGTGGCTTCTAGGAGCTTTGAAATCCCAGAGCCCCAGCTAGATACGGTTGGGAGTTGGGCCCATCCCTGGGCCTGAGGCGTGGGTCTGGTTACTGTACAATAGATTTATAAATGCAATGTCTGTATTTTTGGAGAACTCATGTAACGCTCCTATTTCTTATCTCCACCGGTCCCTGAATAGGCCCGTTGATCTATAACACCTGGTCCTTTGTGTGTTTAGAAATTATTATGAAGGTCCTGTGGTTGCCCCAGAGTCTCGTTTCCCTGCTGGGACCTTGTTTGAAATGCTGCCCTGAATACGATCAGTTGGGGAGATGGTCTCCTGATCAGACAGCGTGCTAGTTCTTTGAAAAGCTGGTCCATGGACGATTCTAGCAGGTGCATTGTTAGAGCCATTCCAGTCCCCTCCAGGTCTTTTATTGATAGATGTCAATGAAAACTATCACTAGCTACTATCAGGTGATTCCGTTTTGACGTCCAGCACGTTTGGAAGATGGCTAAGGAGGCGTGTTATCTACAAAGTTCGACTCTGCTGGATTAGATCACCGCAGGTCGTCTGAAAGGCTTCTTTACGATGCCACTGGGTCCTGGTTGCCAGCCCAGCTGGAAAGTTCTCTTCGGCTTGGAGGTTCTATGGTGTTTCACGAGAAGAGTAATCGCTGCTGACCAGCTCTGAGCCTATTTTTGCGGGAGTGTGCTGGATCCTGGTTGTCATGGGGAATTCCAGCAGCTGTCTTTGCTATGTTCCCAAGAAAGACGTCCCCAAGACGCGAAGAAGAAAAGTGACAATCCGGAAGTGGGATAGAAGAAGGTGAAGGAACTCTGTTATGTGGTGGGGGGAGAAGCTCTAGGAGCATCCAAGCCTCACAGATCAAGGGAGGAAAACCTAAGACTCTCTCCCCTCCTCACGCATACACAGCCAATCTCTCAGTAATGGAAATACATGTGCTTGTTGCCAGAGTCGGGAGCGTATGACCATGTGCCAAACTGTTTGGTTTGAGTTCTTTGATTTTTTTTCCCCTTCGATGCCAGGAGATAGGCTGGTTAACTAGATAATAACTTGATTTGCTAATGAAGAGCGTGGGTTGTATTTTGTTCGCATGTGAATGTCCTCCTAATCCCAGTGTGTCGTGGTCATGAAATGTTCTTTGCATGTTCTCTTGGTACTGGAGTCTAGCTTTCCTGTGTTAGATGGTGTTCTCTTTGACTGTAGGTTTTTAGAATTTAACTAGGGTCGTAGACGTGCCTTATAAAGGGTAGCGTCAACATAGTGACTGACTCTCCACTTCGCTGGGAATGGAATGCATAGTGTCGTCATTTCCCATAAGAGCCCTGTCATATTCCAAGCAATTTTTAATAGTGTGTGTTAGAAAGGGCAACAAAGTTTACATTTCATACTTTTAAGAAACACTTTATTATTTATTTATTAAAGAGAGTGTAGAATTTTGTATCGAGAACAACAGACAACTATTTTTTAAAAACAAACAGACACACCCTTTAGTTAGAAACTTTCAACTGAGCCCTGTTAGAGACCAAGTTTAACTTCAGGCATGGGTTTGTTTACCACTCCCCGGAAGAAAATACAGTTAGACCACTTTAAGTTTATATTTTCTGACCATTGTTAAGAAACTGGGTGAAATTAAATCTATAAGTAGACACACAACTCACGCTTTCCTATTTCTGTAACTAATTCAATTTGTTCAGTGTATTTATGAAGGACATGTTCTATGGTAGAGACAAAATGTACGTGATGGGTAAAATGGGATAGTTTTGGATAACCATTCCCATCCCTTTCCTTCTGGTGGGGTAGACCTTTCCTTCATTGGCTCTCTTCGTGTGTCATGCTGGTCATCGCTGTTTAGGCAGGTAGGATGTGACGTGAACAGTGACAAGCATCTTGTGACCCTTTTAGGTCTGCGAGGTCACCCACTCCCAGCATCCCATGATCAGAATTCATGTAGCATGAAAACACAGTCTGTGACTCTTTTTCCCAAGTGACTCTATTAAGCATCCCTGAGATGTTCCTCCAGGGTAGTAATTCCGGATTCGTGTCCTTGTCCTCACTGGTGTAATCTGGACGGCAACCGGACCGACATAGGGATGAGTTAACCTGGCCCTCAGATCCAGCTGTGACTCATTAGTCATACTGGTGGGGGGGACAGAGATAGGTAGGCAGCGCCTGGGGTCTCTTTGACCTCTGTCCCTCACTTCTGCCTTTTTGGCCACCTGGGTTCCATTTCCTAGAGATGAAATGTCTCTTTCCGAGAAGCGATCTGTTTCCTAGCTCTGTGCTTCCAAATGCAGGGTGTCTGTAGGCTACTGTATCCTGGCCTCTGTTCCCAGCCCTCCAGACGCCCTGCAAGCTTCCCTTCTTCTCTGAGCTGCACTGACCTCCTCCAGCCCAGCAAGGGGCTTTTCTGCTCACAGGCTATGTGCTGAGCTCAGGAGCCTGCGGACGGGGGCTTTTCGTAGACTAGCTCTTTTGAAGGGACAGACCGTATCCAGCCCCTCTGGAGCAGGGTGTCTCTGGCTGATACCATGTCCCCTGGCAGACAGGCAGGCAGCAGCATGTCCTGGAACCAGGTTCTGCTGTAACCAGGAGAGCCTGGAGGGTTGTCCGCTCAGACCCCAGGCTCGCCTGACTCTGGAAGGGGGACTCTTCTAGGCAAGGGTCACCAGGGATGCCTGAGAAACTGGGGCCAGGGGACAACGCTGGAGTCCCCGGGGAAGGTGAATGCAGGTCTGCCACCCAAGACCAGGCAGGTGGGCTGTCTCTCCAGGAGCTGGCTGTGCAATCATAAGCCACTGGCCATACAGTGTGGGAACATTCTAGAAATCAGTGGGGTTGGAGAACAAGGGCCGAATGGATGGGGTGCTTCTGGTTTTATCAGAAAGGTTGGAGATTTGGGAGTTTATTTTAGAGTTTGCCACACTGCTTTGTAGGAGAAAAAGCCTTCTCTATCTCTTCTTCAAATAGCTTCTTCGAGCTAGGGGGATCTTTTGATTCATAGAAGAAAATTTGTTTCTGTGTTTAACAACTTGAAGAATTTCTGCTGGAAACTGCTAGCGGGGTTTTTTTTTTTTTATGTTATTTCACGTGCTTTCTTGCCTTTTATTTTATGTTGCCTGCCTTCTCTTTCCGAGGGTGGAGATGAACGTTCCTGCGGACAGGAGCACTCTGGAATGGATGCTCGCACAGTCTAGAGGAAGCGGGGTCATTTCCAGCGTGAGGCGAATGTGAGGTTGGCCGAGGGTCTGCTCACTCCAGGTGGGCCTGCTCTCTAAGTTAGAGCCTCCACTTAGGCCGGAAGGTGAGGTGAGGGAAACTGGGGATCCCAGATGTTCCTTCTTTGCTTTCCAGTATAGGAACTCGAGTTCCTACCGGGGAAAAGCATAGTTGGTGGCACCAGAAGCCAGTGAGGAGGTGAAGCCCTCAGACGCTGTGGTCGGAGCTACCCTATGAGGTATTTGGTCAAAGTCACACCTGGAAGGTGTCACCTCCTTCTCTCTTCCTGCCCTGAGGTGCTGACATGCCTCTTCCTGCGGGGAATGGTCGGGTCAGCAGCCAACACTCTCCTGGCAGTGCCCTGAGTCATGCCTTGTGCGGGCCGTGTCATATCCTGTAAATCAAGTTGGCGTGTTGATCATACTTGGAAAATGGCTGTTTATTTGAGTGAGAGGAAAGGAAAGTTCTAGAGCTCCCTTTTCCTCCCCTTGCGTGACGTCAGATCCAGGATGTGTTTGTAGGTCATGGAGCTCAATTAAGGTACATCACCTGATGTCTGCAGGAGCTAGAATATCTTCCTGATAAGCATGGAATTCTTCCTCCAAGGGAAGGCTAGAAACGTCTAACAGCTCTCTCTCGGGAGCATTGAAACCCAGATTCCCCCATGTTGGAAGGTCTTATCTCTGGGTTGTGATCTCTTAGTAGCAATGCTAGTAGCATACTATTCTGATTCGGGAAGTCCCCATGCTGCTCCAGGCCCCTGTCTTAGGGGACTGGGAGGTGGACTAGAGAGGTCTGCCTCTGTGGTTTCCGTGGCCTAGTTGTGGATCTGATGTTATGTTATTTAAATGACGCCCAGTGCTTGTAAAAATTCATCTCTGCCTCTAAATAATTGCATCAGTAATAGGCAGATCAGTTCCTCCATGAAGAGGAACCCTGCTACTCTGGCCTTGGGGAACCAGGTAACACACACGTAATAGAGTGATTTTTTGGGACCCCATGTGTGGTTGTTGTATTTCAGGGCAAACCTGCCCCTACTGTATGTCAGGGGTTTTGTGAGTTGTTTTTAATAGGATTCCGTTCTACTTTCTATACCAGCTTCTAGTGTTACTGTCATCTGAATAGTGGGACTATTTTAGTATTCAAAGCCCACCAAGTTAAGACTGTTCAGAAGTGGGCTCGTTTGATCAAACTTGCAAAAAAAAAAAAAAAAAAGTGGAGCGTTTCTCTGCTATTTCCTGAGAACTAACCAGTAACCAGGGTTTCTTTTTACTCAGTGGGAGGAATAGAGATTTTTTCTCCTAGGAACACTGGTTTTGTACTCTTATCCTTTAAAAAAATAACATTCCTAGTGGCTGAGTTTCTAAAGCTCTGTTTCTCTGCATTTCGCCTCTTATGCTCAAATGGCTTGCTTCCTCCTGTTTCTCTATCTAAAAGAAGGGGGGCCCTCGGGATGAGGGTGATACGGGGAACCGGGGAAACGGAGAAGGTGGGGAGGAGCCCGCGGCTTCCCTTCTCCCCACTGTCGCCGCCAGGGGGCGATCTCCCTCCTGGAAACCTGCGGGTCGCGCGGCGGCTCCGGGGTGCTGGCCCCACCGGCTGTGGCTCCGGGACCGACCTCTCGAGTAAATCCCGGGGCCAGCCCGAGGGTGGTGAGAGTGGAGGCGGAAGAGGGCAAGAGTTGGTGGCAGGCGTGGGCAGGGGTCTCAGCGCCCCCGGGGTACCTGGTGACCCTTTGCCGCTCCGTGGTGCCGGGGCTGGTCGTGGGGTGGGGGGAGGCCTTCAGCCTTCCCATCTGCTTTGTGAAAGTCCCTGAGACTCGGCTCCCCAGGGGTCTCGGGTGGAAGTTGGACGTCCCCCCCCCCCAGGAGGCGTCCTCTCCCACAAAGGTTCTAGGAGTCAGGTCTTTACTGGGACTGGGTAACAGTCTCTCCTGGGAGACCAGGACTTCCTGAAATTCAGATGCAGAGCACTGGTGGGGGCCACAGAAGCTCACTGTGCGGGGTGTGTACGGGGTGTGTGCGTGAGTGCGTGAGTGTGTGTGGTGTGAGTGTGTGTGTATATGGTGTGTGTAAGAGTGTGAGTATGGCGTGTGTGTGAATGTGTGGTATACGTGCGGCAGTGTCTGTGGTGTATGATGTGTGTGTGTGTGGCCTGTGGTGTATGTGGCATGTGTGTGAATCTGTGGGGTGTGTGTGGTGTGTGAGGAGAGTATGAGCGTGAGTGTGTGACAGTATCGGTAGTGTGAGAGTGTGTGTGTATGTGGTGTGACAATGTGTGGTGTGTGTGAGAGAGGGCTGTGTGTGGTCTGCGAGAGGAGAGTATGAGTGTGAGTGTGTGGTGTGTGTAAATGCATATGGTATGTATGTGAGAGGGTGTGTGGTTTGTTGCGAGTGTGTGTAGGAGTGTGTGGTGTGTGAGAGTATGAGTGTGTTTGGTGTGTGAGTGTGTGGCGTGAGAGGATAGCATGAATGTGAGACTGGTGTGTGTGTGAGTGTGCTCTGTGTGTGCACGTGGTGTGTGAGATTTTGTGTGGATGTGTGTGGTATGTGTGCTGTGTGTGATCTGTGTGTGTGGTGTGCACGCGATACGTATGTGGGGTGTGTGTGTGTGTCACTAGGAGAAATGAAGATATGTGGATTGAACGAGGGAACAGATGGGTCTGACACTCCGTCGTCGCATTCAGGCCCCATGAAAAATACAACATGAAAATCTGAAGCCCCTTATTGAAAAT